TTTGCATTTCTCTAATGACCAGTGATGATGAGCATTTTTTCATATGTTTGTTGGCCTCATGTATGTCTTCTTTTGTAAAGTATCTGTTCATATCCTTCAGCCCTTTGTCAGATGGGTAGACTGCAAAAGTTTTTTCCCATTCTGTTGGTTGCCGATTCACTCTAATGACTGTTTCTTTTGCCGTGCACAAAGAATTGAATATAGCTAGATGTTACCTAAGTACTATAATTTATAACAACCAATACACACTGAATATTATGTGTCAGGCACTAGTCCATATGCTTTCTCATGGATTACTTATTCAATCCTTGTAACAACAATAGGACACAAGTACCGTTAATTCTGACTTTCATTTGAGTAAACTGAAGCACGGAAGTTAAATTACTTGTATAACAATGTACAGCCAGTAAGTTAAGGAGCTAAGATTCTAATCCTGGCAGTTTTTACTCCAGAGTCTATACTCTTAATCACTATACAGTTTCACTGAGACCTTCCAGCTTTGTTTCTATAGTTTTAGTAATTATGTGTGTATATAAAAATTTAAAGAGAAACATATATAGTAAACCCACCAAAATCCTCCTTTACTCTCCAATTTCCATTCCCTCTACCTAATATTTTCATATTGATTCTTCCAGTTCTTTTTCTATGCATGAATATACCAATCACTGTATATATTCCTGCCTCTGTACATACAGTGAAATCATGCAGCACTTGTTGTTCTGCACTGTCTTTGTCTTGGACATCTTTCTAAAGCAGAACATGTTAGACTCCCATATCATCTTACACTGTTGCTTCAAGTCCACAGAGCAGCTATACTCCTGATGGTTATTTTAGTCTATCACAAAAGGCAGTGAGTATCCTTTTTTGCATAGACTATTTTATGTGACACAAAATTCTACTTATTTACATTCTCGAGAGTGAACAGAGTCCGGATTCCATTTTTGGCATAGCTAGACTCTCATCTGGTTTCAAAGAAACTTTATTTTTAGCCTGGGCCACCTCCCCTCTTAAACGACTCACTTCACTACAGAACTACACAAATGTGGAACTAAGGGAGTATTAAAAACATCATCTTCCACTTGGGAGTTTCAGCAGTCGTATTTCCCTCATGGAACAATTTTCCTTTCATGCAATTTTCTGACATTTTTCTTGATAAAATTTTTAACTCAAGCACGCTTGACTCAAACACTTGACTGGTGGGTAACCCTTTAGTTTTTCTGTGATGCCTTTGAAGGGCACACCTATAATCTGCAGCTGTGGGTGTTAAAAGCTTTCTCAGGTGTTGGCTATCGTAGGACACAAGGGGAAATGCCACCCTCAATCTTCAGCAACTTTTATTTTTTTAAGTGGAAGCCACTAAATGGCTTTAACTAAAGTAGTGCTCTGGTGTTAAGAAAATCGTAATGAAGAAATCAAGTAGGGTGGTTATGAAACACGTCACACCCCAGACAGTTACTAGGGGAAGACTACTCTTGGAAATGTAACGTTTTTAAAATCAGCTCGTGTTAAACAGTACAATCAGGTGCCTTATATGTACTTTCTGTGCCCTACTGCCTGTTTCAAACTGCAAGTCCATAAAAGAAAAAAAAAGAAACAGTATTTCATCTTAGCATCCCACCCAGCAACTCCACACTTCTGAGCCAACCTGCAGTTGGCATGGCCGGGAAATGGGGTGTTCTCATTAAAAAGCACTCCTCATCCATATTTAGATTTCCAATTTTCACAGAAATAGGAATGGGGATACTATCCCACAGGATTATGAGGAATAAACGAAATAATGCAACTAAAGCACTGCACATAGCACCTGGCACATCAAAGAACTCTCTGAATGCTTAAACATAAATCCTTTATCCCACGGGAAACCGATTCTCTTACTCTGCAAATCCATGCAGGGTCCCATGAGTCTCACACTCGTCCCAGCTTTGCAGCTCCCTCCAACCACAGCGAAGAAACCCCTTTAGTAAGAAATACAATTTTCTACAACTGGCATCAAAACCCACAACACTCAGGTATCTTGAGACAGTACAATTTTCAGATGAATAATAATGATACATTATTACTGCTAATTAGTCACTTAGCCTTAAGACATATAAAATGCAACAAAGATTTATATTTAAGAAAGCCAAATGAGAGATTTTCATGGAAATTTTACTTTTCAAGCAAGTTTACCTCCTCAGGGAGACAGAGTGTGTGCTCTTTCTCTGGTGGGAGATGACAAGAAATAACAACTAATTGAATGCTATGTTCTCTAGAGATGCTTGACAGTATTAATCCAAATATCTTTCAGAAGGTAAATATATTGTACAGATTTCTTTCATAACCACAGTGAATCCTGACTTTCCTTTGGGAGAGACATGTGGGCACAAAGGAGGGCAATTAGACCAATCATTTCTAGATATTTCTTAAATTGTAGATTTTGTTTGAATAATTAAAATGTGAAGAACTGGGGTTATTAAAAAAAAACAAAAACCACATATGTTTAGACCTTCTTGAAAAGAAACGTTACTTCTTAAGTCCGAACTATCTCAAATGAACTCTTTCTGCCTGTCATCTCTAGCTAAATAACTGGCAGTTAGTGGCCAGGCGCAGTGGCTCACGCCTGTAATTCCAGCACTTTGGGAGGCTGAGGCAAGTGGATCACCTGAGGTCAGGAGTTCAAGACCAGCCTGGCCATTATGGCGAAACCCCGCCTCCACTGAAAATACAAAATTAGCTGGGCATGGTGGCACGTGCCTGTAATCCCAGCTATTCGGAGGCTAAGGCAGAAGAATCACTTGAACCCAGGAGGTGGAGGTTGCAGTGAGTAGAGATTGTGCTACTATACTCCAGCCTGGGTGACAGAGCTAGTACTTTGTCTCAAAAAAAAAAAAAACCAAAATTGGCAGTTAGTACAAGAATGAGACCTTTCTGCTTCTAGCCAGCTGAGTAATTATAAGTCTAATAATAGATAGCAAATTTAGAAAATAAATTATCCCCTGTGCATACTGTACCCTGCACTATCTAAAATGGTTTATATCTACCACACAGTATCCTGAGTGAATTTAATATGAAATGTGGGCTTTGGGAGTGAATGAGTCAAAGTGTGCAGAATCTTTCATCTCGAGCCATGTATTTTAAATTTGAGAACACAAAATCAAATGTAGAGCAACTGCCCTTACTTTTAAAAGATCAACTTATCAAAGTCAGAACTTCTCACCACCAACTCTCCAGTGTCCTCCTAATTAACAAACCAATTATATTTTAGTTCTAATTTTAAAATGTAGGTATTTAAACATTTCAGCATGGTAACTAGAACATTCTCAGGAGTAAAGTGTATTAAAGACAATTGTTCAACATCAAAACAATGAAAAAACTGGTGAATTTAGTCAACATGGCTGTTGGAGTCTGCAGGGCAGACTCTTTAGCTTTTTACCACTTGGTTAAGTACCAGAAGTATCAAGTTTTTAAGTGTGTTCTGGTAGCTTAGTGATTAGGCTCTCCCTTATTGAAGAGTCCTTGATAAGTGATAATGACAACCTTAACCTTTAAAAATACTACACACAGCCAGGTGCGGTGGCTCACACCTGCAATCCCAGCATTTTGGGAGGCTGAGGTGGGCAGATTGCTTGAGTCCAGGAGTTCAAGACCAGCCTTGCCAATGTGGTGAAACCCTGCCTCTACTAAAAATACAAAAATTAGCTGGGCATGGTGGCATACGCCTGTCGTCCCAGCTACTCAGAAGGCTGAAATGTGAGGATCTGCAGGTGAAGAGGTTGAGCAGTAAGCCATGAACATGCCTGGGTAACAGAGTGAGACCCTGTCTCAAAAAAAAAAAAAAAAAAAAAGAAAAATCACACACCACCATCTGACAAAAATCTGCAACAAAAAACTGAAGAAATGTGCTCTGAGAGGAAACAAAAG